AGTATGATGTGGCTGTAGGTTTTTCATAGATGCTCTTTTGCCACTTTAAATATTATCTCTTGATTTCGACATTTTGATCATCATGGGCCTATGTACAGATCTCCCTGTATTTATCCTATTTGGGGCTTGTTGAAATTCCTGAATGTAAAGATTTTTTTTCCCATCAAATTTGACGCAAATTTAGGTCATTATTTCTTCAAATATATATTTTTTAATTTTTCTTTCTTATCTATTTCTGATATTTCTATAGTATTCCTATTTGTGTTGTCAGGTTTGTTGTTATCTCAAGGACGCCATGGCTGTTCATTTTTCATCAATATATTTTCTCTCTGTACTTCCACTGTTAACCTTGATTGATCTTTCTACAAGCCTATTAATTATTTTTATGCAGTCTTAAAGCTGCTTTTCAGCTCTCTACTGGAATAATTTGAGTTATTGTTCTCTTCAATTCCAGAATTCTCAATTTGATATATACAGATATCTGTACACTGCTTCAGCTGAAACCCATAAGTCTTAAATTGTTGTTAGAACAATTGTTCTAATCCAAATACATATGTTTTCACTGAAAATTTTCTGTTTATTCATTGTTGTTATACTTTTTAAAGAATCTTCAAATTCAAGTAAATTTAGTACTTGAAAACCTTTCTAAGTAGCTGCTTCAAGTCTGTCTGCTGAATCTAACATCTGGACATATTCAGTTTCTACTGACTTAGTTTTTCTCCTGAATATGGGTCATACATCCCTATAGTTCAAATTTTTTTGTTGAAAACTAGACATTTTGGATAATATATTATGTGATTCAGGATTATGATTTTACTATAAAGATTATTTTTGCTGTTTTCTTTGTGTTTGTATCTTTGGGCTAAATCTCTGATTTCTTTCTGTCCCATAGTATGTTGCTGTTGATGTGTCTGCTAAAAAAATATTTACAGCTTTTCGGTGTTTTTTATAAGCATGGCTTTCTAGTCCCCTCCCCCCCCCGCCCCATATGTGTATAACTTGTGGTAAACCAATGATTGGACACAGTTTGTGCCCAAACTCTTCAAGCCAGTGAGGCTTCTACCCTTGCAGATGGGCCTGTGTACACTGAGGGGCATTCAGAGTCCAGACCATTTTTACATCTACCCCAGCATTTGTTTTACACTGGTGTGTGTGTGTGTGTGTGTGTGTGTGTGTTTTCTGAGAACTTGTGCATAGCCTTATGCTCAGCCAGGACCATGTGCTTGGTCTTCCTTTGGTCTCTACTGCCAATGTGTGAAAACTCAGCCAGAACTATGTTTGCTCCAATCATGCTCCAACCTCAGGCCAAACTCTTTACCCTTGGTGGAGATCATAACTTACACTGAAAACATCTCTGAGTATGACTGCAGCCCACCACCCCGTATTAGGTAAACCCCTTTCAACAACGGCAGTGCGCTGGCTGACCCAGCTCCTGCGCTGCTTCGGTAGACCTTCCACAGCAAGGAAGCAACGGAGCTGAGATGTAAGATGTATGCCTTAAGCGAGAACACTGCAGACTCCCAGGGCTCTAATTCAAAGTTTAGCAGTTTTTCCAGCATAAATGCTTGTCAGATTGACAGGTGCTCTTCAATTTCCAGAGTGGTAATAATGATTGATTTGGTCAAATGATTTAGACTTACAGTTGCATTTTAGGAAAAAGATTTACTGACTTCTTTATTTAGCCATAGCCTGAAATGCGACATCTCAGGGTAAATGTCTGTTAATTCCTAAATCACATCAGAATAATTAAAAAGAGAAAAGTATAGACTCATTTTACTTATGAGAATAGTTTCAAATTTTCTAAATAAAATGTTAACTATCCAAATTCAATAATATATTAAAAATATATTATGATTAAGTATGATTTACCCTAAAAAAATAATAGTGTAATATTAGCAAATTTATCAAGAAATTTATTACATTAGTAGACTGAAAAAAAATTATTTCAGTAGTTAGAGAGATGGCATTTGATAATGATCAAAACATATTCAGCAGATTAAGAACATTAGGGAACTTCCTAAACTTGCTACAATTTATAGAAAAAACACCTGTAGTAAACATGATACTTAATGGAGAAACTTTAGATGTATTCTCTTAATACAGGGGAGAGAGGGCAGTTTGATGTTCACTATCATCACTGCTATTTAACTACTGAAGTCTTAGATCCTGGCCAATAATATAAGGAAAGAAAAATAAAGGAGTGGTAAGATTGAAAGGAAAGTTATAAAACTTTTATTATCTCCAGTATATGCAGATAATGTGATCAACTACCAAAAAAAACAACAACAAAAAACACACAAAAAAACACACAAAACCCACTAGAATTAATAAATTATCAGAACTAACAGAAGGTATCAAGGTATCATAAAGTTGTTCAATGTAAGATCAAGCTATACAGATAAAGAGAATTTGTCTATGCCAACAATAACCAGATAGAAATGCCATAAACAACAAAATACCAATCAAAATAGCAATACATTTACAAATTCTCTAGGTATTAGAAATACTTAATTGCTATGGAGAATACTTTATAAATTTCATAAAGTACACAGAAATTAATAAGAAGGTATTCTGTGCTCTTGAGATGGAGAAGTTAATATTATAAAAAGTAAATTTTGGTCAAATTAATTTATAAATTATATGTATCCTTAATCCCAATGGGTTCCTATACTCAAGTTGGATATTTTCATAAACTCAGTAATTTTTAAATTTCTAATAACTACACAAAAAAACAATTTATGCATAGGCATATCAAGTTTGAAAAAGATGAACTAACAAAGGAAACTTGGCTTATTAGTTATTAAAGCAACGAACTATTCTGGACAGAATAGAGAACTCAGAAAAACACATATACTCATAGGAACTTAATAAGCTACAAAGTTGGCAACCTAAATCAATGAGAAACACTGAATCAATCAATCAATCAATCATTCAATTAAAAAAGTCTCTACATGGACCAAATATGTTAGAGGTTAGAAATTATGAAGAATTTGACTGGGATGGTAGAAGTGGAAACGGTGAAAAGGAGTCAAATCTGGTATAAAATATTTTAGAGACTGTCAACAAGATTTATATATGAACTGAGTATTAGAGATGGGAGGAGAAAAGATGACATACTAATGAAGAAGAAACTTATGATGCAAGAGAAAGAGAATATGTCTGTAGGAAGAAAATTCTTGAACAGGTACAGAACCTTATTCTGAGAGTGAGTATCAGGGTTAATTTTTGGTAGAAGTAATCTAAGCAGAAAAACTGGGTAGATTTTTCTCTTTTATACTGGAGAGAAAAATAACAAAAACAAAAATAGCATAATTGCATAAATCCATTCAATCATAGACAAGTAAAATCTAAACAGAAATTACCTGAAAGGCACATGGCCAAACATTACTGTATTAATTTATAAGTAGTTTTCTAGGGAGGAAAACGTGTAACCGTAAGACCTTTACCTACAGGTGAAAATTCTAATAGGCATAAAATGTTAACATTCTTAAAATTTTGTAATTTGACTTCTCTAAAATCCTATTTGATTGAAATTCAGTGAATGTGTGTCTACATATAAAAACATCTGACTCATCATCTTATTTTAAATAGCAGATTTGTTAAACTTGGGATGTGTGTATATTTTATGGTTTTTGACATTGCTTGTATTTTGTATTTTTTAACACCATTGACATATCAGTTTTTCATAAAGGAAAAAGAGGAGGAAAAGGGAGAGACTAAATCTTACAGAATGAGCCACTCTCTAAATGTGACAAATAAAGGCAGATTCGAGGGTTGCTAGTAAAATTTTCTGACCCCCAACCCTGCATAGATTATGTAGAGTACAGAAGCAGGCCCTTTATGCTCAGATAAAGGATTTTCAAATGGACTTAGTGGTGACTGTGTTATTGTTTTAAAAGTGAGACTGGTTGAGCCCCAGCAAAGAATTAGACCAGATTTGCTGCAGAAGTTGAGGTTCTCAGACATTCCTAAGTAACACTGACAAGGAAGATGGGTAGCTTGGTTAGACCAGGGATGTTAAATTAATTTGTGTGTGTCTGCCGTGACTGATCATTTTAATTATTTGATAAAGACAGGAAAAAAAAAAAAGATAAGGAAGAAGATATTGGAAAAGAAGCTACATAGGAGACCTGGAGTGATAGGAGCAGTTGTCAGGATACCTGGCGATAAGCCCACCTTTTTCAATAATTTATTGTGAGCTATTGTAGGCTAAATATTTTCTCTAATCTGGACTGAGAATTTGTATTCTTTTGTATAAATAAAATATTTTTTAAAAATTAAAAAATATTTATAAAATGAAATGGTTGTATGTTAGGTTGCATTTGTGTAGCTTCTTTCATTTTATATCATTTTCTATTAAAAAATATTTTCTTTTTTAACCACAGAATACTTTTCTCAAACAAACACTGGCCTAAATCCCAATTTGGAAAATAGATAAAAACAAGCAACTCTAGTTAAATTAGAAAAACGCTCCAGGTATTGGAAAAGATAGGCAACAGGAAGTAAACAAGTCAAAAGCCTTCTAACACATGCTAAACACCATAGCTGGCTTTCTAAACTTGGTTTTTCATTTGATCCACATTCCATTTCAAAGATGAAAAAAATGAGATAGAGATAAATAGTCCAAGTGACACAGACAACAAATAAGAGCTCTGAGATTCGAACTTAGTTGTACAGTCCCATAAAGGCTCTTACTGGAGCTAGTGCAGGACAGGAGAAATGAGAAAGGACCGTGGAGGGCAGATGTCACACTGATTTACTCCACCTCTTATCATCTGTCAGTGCCCAAAATGTTTTCAGAGAGTCGGGTCATGGGTTGGGCTTACGGACTAGCTGTACTGGATATTTAGCCCACCCATGGACTAAGCCATGTTCCCTCCCTTCTTAGTAGTTGGCTTCACAACAGGTATGACCTAGTATTTAGGAAATAATTAGTTCTGCATAGAGTCAAACATAATCTCGAAAGCAAATATGACAAATTGAATCAAACAGTCTCTCACCTTTGCTGGGGCAGGGGCTATTGCTAACTGACTGTACCTTTCCTGAGTTCTTGTTTCTTTTTCCCTGGAAAAGAGCAAGAAATAGCATAGCTTAGACATGCCTACCCAAGTTTTAGCGTTAACAGCATACATGGTAAACTTAATTAATATTCTCCTCAGCCCAGTCTGGCAGGTCAGAAGTGGAGGTATGCTCAGAAATGTACCACAAATCTCTCCTCTGTGCTGAAAAACATCTCAAACATTGTTCTATTGGAGGCAAGAATGTCTACCTTTAACTGCATAGAAGACTACTCCCCTTAACTACTTCCAACATCCAGGTGGTCACCAACTCTAAAGCCATCTGTACCATTGATAGAATGTTCTCTTTGAAAGACTATATTCGTGGCCAAGTAGTATTCCATTGTATAAATGTACCACAGCTTTTTTATCCACTCATCTACTAATTGGCACCTGTGCTGCTTCCAAATCTTGTCTATTGTAAATAATACCACAATTAACATAAGGGTCCATATATTCTTTCAAATTAGTAGGAAATCTTACCTTTTTTGCCAGCATGGATGGACCTGGAGAATATTATGCTAAGTGAAATAAGCCAATCAGATAAAGACTAATACCATGTGATCTCACTTATATGTGGAATCTAATGAACCAAATAAACAAAGAAACAAAATAGAAACAGGTCCTAGCTATCAGGGAGAAGGAGCCGGGGGGTGCTGGCTGAAAAAGGTAAAGGGATTAAAGAACAACAACAGCAACAAGAAAAACCTCATAGACAGACAACAATATAGTGATTACCAGAGGAAACTGGAGGTGGGGGGATGGGAACAGATATGACTTGGGGTAGTGAGCATATAATACAATATATAGGTTATATATTATACAATTGCACACCTTAAACTTATATAATTTTATTAACCAATGTAACCCCAATAAATTCAATTTTTTGAAAACGGGGTGAGGAGAAAAAGAAAGGCCATGTTCATATTACACAAAAATCTATCTTCCTGGTTTGGTCCTAGTTCCAATTTCTGAGGACCCAGAGAGCAACCTTAGCAATTTGAGGATCATTTTAAAGACTTGTGCAGTGTCCTTCTTTCCAGGTTAAAAACAAAGCTTTATTCCAACATCATTTACATAGTTAATAAAAATAATGATTCAGTGAGTGACTGCGAGGTGATAAACTGCCTTATGTTTTTTAAGGCATTTTATATTTGTTTTAGTTTTCAGTGAATGTACTATTTCTAGTTTCAGTCTACTATCAAAACATCCTGTGAAACAAGCATAAAACTTGATAGTAAACCATTCACCTGCTGGTTTTCATTCAGCTTTCAAGAGAGTAAGAACAGATTCTTCAACCTTCCCTGGGCCTCACCCCACCCTGCACCTTGCCCTGCCTTCCCTCATCTTCCCTAGAAGCAGCGCATGTGATCAGAGCTTCATTATGCCAATATCATAGACTATGTCAAATTAAATCCCCTGACACATACCAGCCTGGCATTTAAAAAGCTAATCATCACATAATTAGCATACATGAATATGATATCGGCTTGGTGCCACTGTTGAAATTGTGATGTTGATCAGAAATTGAGAACGACCTCCTTGTTCAAAAACAAATTAGGACACTTGGATTCGAGGTTTTGCAATTGATAACTCAAGCTATCTTCCACTTTGAGGTGTCATTGGAGAGAAGGAAGTCAAGAACCATTGCATAGATGTTGGTTAACTTCCCGGATCCTCATTCTTTCTGAATTGCAGGTAATGGCAAACTATAATTAACTTTTTAATCCATCTCGTTTTAGAATAATCCCAAATGCCTGAAGTCACTGGCAGTTTAGAGTCAGGGTGTATCCTGCTTCAATCCTTCTGCCAGTTGGCTGCCACAGGAAAAGTTTGACATCATCCCCAAGGGGCTTTTCTCAGTTCCTAAGGTACAACAGTGTCAGGTCTTAACAGGACCAAGAAATCTGACTTCCTTTTTTAAGTTAATTTTTCAGAAGCAGGAAGCTCACCCTGAAACTACATCCTCAAAAGACTATTGAGTTTTACATAAGGTATTAATATCAGGCCCTCTGGGTGTTTTGGAATACCATTTGAGTGATTATTAGAGCTTTCCAGGTGGGTGGCGCTTATCCAACTTCATCTGATGAGAGATGCCAAAGTAATCTACAAACTATCTTTATTTAACCATTTCGATTTAGAAAGATATAGTTGCCATAAAATACAAAGGAATACATTTACTAGTTCAGAGATCATCTCGTAACTCAAACTCCTGGAAGAAAGAAAAACTTTACTTACAATATCATTTTGCATTTGGCACATTTGTTGAGGGACATTATTCCATTAGGGCTTTGGAGGTTTTTATCCTGGGAACAGAACAACTTCCCATTGTTCATCAACACCCGATACTCATTGCACATTTCCTAAGGAAAAGATAAAAAAGTTATGTTTACTAAAACCTCATCAAAGTAAGACTATACCTCCCTGGCCAGTTGGGCTCAGGGGTTAGAGCGTCAGCCTGTGGTCCAGAGAGGTCCAGGTTCAATTCCCACTAAGGGCTTGTGCCTCGATTGTATTTTGTCCCTGGCCCTGGTTGGGGTCTTTTGGGTGGCAGCCACTTGGTATGTCTCTCTCGCATCGATGTTTCTCTCTCCCCACCTTCTCTCTCCCTCCCTTCCACTCTATCTGAAGATAAAATGCAAAAATGTCCTCAGGTGAGGATAAAAAAAAAAAAAGTAGGACTGTACCTTCTAAGAACTTCGTTGAACAATATTATGTAATACCCATTAACCCCTTTATAGGGAAGACATTCACTCGGTTGCTACAAATAATACAAACATAAATAGTAGCTCTTGTATTTTCTATTGGAGATTGCGAATTCACCCAATATGCATCCGTCTAAAACAACTAGTGAAATGGAAAGAACAGGGACTCGGAGTCAAAAGACTTGAGTTTATAGTTCAGGGTTCACATTTACAAACCCAGTAGACTTAGCAAATTAACTTCTCAAAGGCTCACTTACCCTGTTGGTAAAAATAAGGGATATAAATATATACATTTCAAAGGTCTTCTGAATATTAAATATAACAAGTATGCAAGAAGCCCTCAAAGAATGCCCGATGCATATATTCAATAAGTGAATTCTCCTTCTCTTCTCTTCCTCCTCCTTTATTATCATTGTTGGTTGGTTGTCATTGCTATAGGAATATGCTCACAGCACATCTAGAACACCTAGCACACAGTGGGTCATGATGTGCTGGGAAAGAACTTTGCAAAGGTTGCGGGAGGACGGAGACACAGTGTGTGAACACTGGAAACAGTAGAGAGCCGCTGCCATCTCCCCAAAGGATGTACCCAAGGCACCAGCTCCTCAAGTGTTAACATATATGAAATTAAAAAGTTGGAAAAAACTTAAAAGTTGCATAAAAGGACTCCTTGGTTATATATATTTCTAGACTAGTTCCTCTTCTGAAATAGACCTCAGATCCACTGAGGTCTACAAACGGAAACTGACTGAAAAGCTAACAAAGCCCAAGCCTCCGTTTCCAGGCCCCTCGCTCTCACATCCTGGGGGAGGCCTCGACACTCCATATTTTCAATTTTGTATTCTTCTCTTAAAACATTCCCTCACCCCCACCCGCATCACCCCTGTCACTACTGACACCACTAACACCGGCACTACCACCAGAGTCAAACCTTGGGAATCTATAGAAAAACTGCAATTTTCCTAAAACTTGCTTAAATCTTTCTCTTGTCTTCTTTCATTAGTTTATTCTTTTATTTTTTGTACATTATCTGGAACTACTATTTTACTATTCTGGGTGACATTTTCAAGACACAGAGTGCTATGCTTGGTTTTGGCTTTCTTTTTGCTAAATGCCTGTGGCAACACCGTGCCAACTCCAGGGAGGAGAGGGAAACCATTCTGGGTAGTTTTTTTTACCAGGTAATGCAAATGTGCCATTGACTTGAAGCTCCTGAAAAAGACTGAGTGACAGGAAGGAGTTCTCCAATAAAACACATGGAATTAAGAAATGCATGAAAAGAAAGAAGCCTCGTTTTTAAAGATCTGTCCACGGTCCTTATTTCTACCTATTCCTTTATCTTAAACGAGTTTATTCCTGATTAGTGTTACAAATCCACTGGACCTTTAGAGCAAGCCTTTGAAATGTAAGTGATTGTTTTCATTTTCATTTTGCAAAAAAAAAAATCAAATCAAGTCTTTGCTCCAATTCTGACAAATACAATCTCTTCCAGAGGGTTGAGTATAGAATTATTTTCAGCTTTCTATATCTTTATAACAACTATTTAATAATAACTTTGTTAAATAATAAATTATTAAATTATTAATTAAATAACTTTATAATAACTATTTAATCAATCAACAAACACTTATAAAAGTACTTTGCCAGGTACCATAGATATAGCAGTAAATAGTCAGAGGGATACTTGTTTAAATGTTCCTTATTATCAGTGGGTAATGGTGTATATAATCTAGCCCCCCCCCTTTATGGTGAATTAATTTAACTTATTTTTGTATCTTTATTGTTGAGAGTATCACAGATGTCCCCCCTTCTTTTCCCCTCCTTCCCTCTCCACCCGGTTCCCACCCTGCCCCAGTCCTTCACCACCCTATTGTCCATGTCCATGGGTTATGCATATATGCGTATACATTCTTTGGTTAAACTCTTCCCACTCCCCCTCCCCCTCCCCTCTCCCTCTGAGATTCATCAGTCTGTTCCATGTTTCCATGCCTCTGGTTCTATTTCATTTATCAGTTGGTAGCACTTGCAGAATAATTAATAGTGAAAAAAGGTAACTAAATAATGTCAGAGACCAGCCCTGAGAAATTTTGCTAAGGGCAATCTACTGAAATACCTCTAAATTCATGACCACCACCCAGTAATCTAATCTGAGTGGCACAGTGATAATTTCTGACAACAGACTGACAACTGGGCCTCTCGTAATCTGTGTCTGGTCTCTAACTTTATAGTATCTTATGCCAATACTGCCAGTTACTGCTTAGCCAGCCAGATAAATTACTCTATACCACCTAGATAGAAATTTTGTCATAGAATCAGAGAAGAACCAGCTGTCCTTGTAACAGAAATACAGCACTTGTAATCTTGGCTGGGTAGCTCAGCTGGCTACAGTGTAGTCCCGATATGCCAAGGTTGGGAGTTTAATCCCCAGTTAGGACATATACAAGAGTCATAATGCATAAACAAATGGAGGTACAAATCGATCTCTCTCTCTCTCTCTCTCTCTCTCTCAAATCAATCAATAATAATAAAAATAAAAGAAATATACCCCTTGTGAGGTAGGTCTTAAAGAAAATATTTAAAATACAGAGTCATGATAACACTAGAATAAAGCTTTAAATAGTTGTTAGTGGTCAACTGAAGAAGAACATTATCAGTCAGGATAACTCCTGAATTGGATTTCTCCAATGTCACAATTAGAGGACCTACAAACACCTACTCTTTTTTTTTTTTTTTTCAGATGAACATCGAGGCCCAGAGAATAGGTTAAGAAACTTGTTTACAATGTTTACTTAGTTAAGATGAGACTCAGTGCTATCTTTCTGAGCTAGGAGACAGCAAAACGCTGTAAGAATGCAAAGCAGCAGTTGGGCTTTTCTCTGGGAAAAAGATAATATGGCCCCAATCACCCGACTAGAGAAGGTGTTGAAACAGGAGCAGGTCTAGACCAAAATGGCATCCAGAGGCGGGAGATGACTTTCTAGCAACTGTTTACTTGCAGTCTAACTTCCAGGCTTTGGTTCGTTTTGTTTTGTTATTGTTGCTGTTTGTGTTTTCTCCACATGTCAGAAAAACCAGAGTCCTCCAGGGCCAAGTCTGTTTCCTTCACTGGCTGTTATGTAGCCCTTTGTCCCCCATTGTCCCTCCCCAGACACCCTAATAAAATGTCCCAGGGAGCTGGCATCGCTCCTTCTCTGTGTTAGAGCAGTCCCAAGGTTGCTTTTGGCTTTATAATCACCCTCTGTGGTGACAAAATAAGCACGTGGTAGAGGTCTTTGCAGGTTACTACAGTGCTTTTCCAGTTGCTCTGCCTCCTGTTTGTTACTTTCAACTGGCTCCCGACTGAGCTTAGAAATTAAGAAGAAGTTCAGCATCCAAGGAGAACTAAGTCAACAGTTTTTCTTTCTGACAAAATATTCACTATCGATCAGAAACATTTCCAGAGAAACAATGACTTCTTGGTGGTGTTCTTGCTTGTGCCAACAAAAGAAGTGGCGACATTTAGGTTTTTAAAACTGTTTTTTTTTTTAGTGAAATTGAGTTCATGGCATAAAAAGTATCAGTACAAAATTTGATATAACCACTGGAAAGTACCACCTATTGTCATAGATTCGGGAATACACACACACACACACACACACACATATATGTATGGCTTCGTGAAAAAGTGAGGTTTGCACAATACCCTTCTTTTTACCAGTATACAACATCCCAGGGAGCATGCTCTCTTGTTCCCCGAAACCTAGCCTTCTTCGTCTCCTCTACCACACCACTCTCCTTACACCACAGAGGTTTCTGCACTTAATCAGCAAACTTAGATAAAATAAGAGAGACTAGGATGTAATTCTCTAAAACATTCCAGTAAGAAGTTTCTTTTTTTAAAAATTGCTATAATAAGATACAGCAAGAGGGTGTTTTACCATGGTTCTAATAGTTTCATTGTAGAAAAGGGTTGTTTTACTGTTTTATTATTTTAATGTTTATGGCTTTTAAGAGATATAGCAAATATTTGCTATATAGTTAGCACTGTTTTAAGTGCCAATTAATGCTGTGTGTGTATGTATGTGTGTGTATGTGTAACTGGCCCATTTAAAGTTTACTTTTCAGATAGATAAAATGATTGACCTCTATAGAAAAGGATTCCTGCCCTGGTTAGAGCATCAGCTCTGGGACCTTGATTCTGGTCAAGGGCACGTATACCTTGGTTGCAGGTTTGATCCCCGGACCTGGTCAGAGTTTTGCTGAGGCAACCAATCGGTTCATCTTTCTCACATTGATGTTTCTCTCTCTCTCTCTCTCTCCCCTTCCCTCCCACTCTATCTAAAAATCAATGGAAAAATGTCCTTGGGTGAGGATAAAATAAAAAAGAAGACAGAAAATGATTCTTTTTTGTTGTTGTTGTTATTCCTCATCCGAGGATATTTTTCCATTAATTTTTTAGAGTAAAAGGGAGGGATGGGGAAGAGAGAGAGAGAGAATAAGGGAGAAACATTGATGTGAGAGAGACACATCGATTGGTTGCCTCCCACATAAACCTGACCAGGGTTGGGGATCAAACCTGCAACCCAGGCATGTGCCCTTGACCAGGAATTGAACCTGTGACCCTTTGGTCCAGGGGCAGATGCTCCAACCCCTGAGCCAAATCTACCAGGGCAAGAAAATGATTCTTTTATCTCTTCAAACAAAAGGCCTAAAAGAGGTAGTAAAGCACCCTGTTGGGTCAGGCAGGCCTCTGGCTTCAGGGATGTTTCTGCCTGGTCTGCTATAAATTGCAAACATTTTGTGACTCTCCCCCATCACCTTCAGATTTTTGTTCTAATGTTAGCTTTAGGGAGGACTTACCTGAACATCCCAAGAAGAACGGATACCACCTCCATCCCAGAAGTTCTGTCTTCCATACTCCTTTATTTTTCTCCTAACACTAATCATTATTTAATATACTATATGTTTTTACTCATTTATGTCTTAACTTATCTGTTTTCTCCACTAAGATGTAAGCTCCATGAGATCAGGTTCTTGTCCACTTCTCTTACTTTTGAATATCACTAGCATCTCAAACAAGGTCTGATGCATAATAGATGCTCAATCAACACTTGCTGAATGAAATATGTACACTGACCATATACAAGATATATTATCCTGATTGGAAATATTGTTATTCTATTGACCACTAAAAACTACTTAATGCTTCATTATAGTATTATCACAAAGCTTTGTTTTAAATACTTTTTTAAAGACCTAACTCACAAGGGGTGCATTTCTACTACATCCTGTGTGTGTGTGTCTGATTTTTAGCTGTTAAACAGAACAATACTAATTCACGGGCTTGTTTGTGGAATTTTAAGGCACCCCTATAGCATGGTAGAGTGCCTCTCACTCACATCCATTATTATTAATACACTGATGTGTGTGTGTGCGTGTGTGTTTCTGAGATTCTTGCCTTGATTCATAAACGTCCGTTTCTGTGTTTTTAGCAAAAGCTATTAGTATCTATCAGTGGAACATGTCTATATTATTAACATCAAGGTGTTGGCCATGAACCATTTTTCTTTAGAGATCTTGGAATGCATTCAATGAACAGAAAAAGCAGGACTAACCTGATTTTCAACCTCACTGGCAGCATCTGAGACAAAAAAAAAATACAAAAAACGAAGTTAAGGGAATGTAAAGTATTTAATAAGTAAAACAAACAATTCACTCGGTGCAGTGCCTTGCTTACTTTGCTGGAAATATGTTAGAAAGCCATAAATGATCTTTGAACACATTAAAATCTACCAGGGCAAACACAGTAAGGGCACTGCACCGAGAGATCAGTATATACACTCACCAAGGTCCAATCACTCAGAAAGACCCAATTACTTTGGAGAATAATATCCATATGCTTTCTGACCCCCTCACAATATCTAATTTCTAAAATCTTTCCCTAGCAAAGTATGTAGACTTCTTTTAAAATTATAACATCAATATCAATTATAATTTGCAAGTATTATGTAGCAGAAAGTTTAGATCATATATATATATAAAATTAAATTTTCTCAATTCTGGTAATACTGTCTTCTTATTATAGTTACAGAAATTAGAGATATGATAAAAATGAAGTTTAATTAAAATCACAGACTATATTATACTCCCTCTTTATGAGAAATCTTTTTGTTCCTACACATTTAGCCTAGGAAAGTAGGCATCATTTGTGTATAACATCCATTTAGGGCTTCCTTTTAGAAAATGCAAATGCCTCAGAGCAAGATAACTCTAGGCAACCCATGTTTCCTTCAAGTTCAAGTAGCAAATGCAGAAACCTACCTCCTAGCTCTTACAAAGCCCTTACCCTTTTATAAGAAGTACCTTCAATCCATTTAGGATTTGAAATCACACATATAAAATATACTAGCATCTTCTCTCTCTCTCCCATTTTCTTTTGGGAGGCAACCAAATTTTTGGTGGCTTAGTTTTGACAAGGCTGAAACCCAAAAAATGCTACAAGACACTACGGTTTTAACATAAGAATAGATGATTGAATTCAAATTTTTAATATTTTGTTTATCAATATACTATTAAAGATATATATACACACATATATACATATATATAACATACATCTATGTTTTAAATATATATTATATATTTTACATAATTCCTATCAGTACAAATTGATATGCTTGGTAAGGGGGTCAGATGAAGAAGACTCCACTAAGCTTCTTAGAACTAGTGTAGAATGATTTCTCATGGATAAAATTCAGATGCTCTAAAACTATTTGCCGTTTCTAAAGATAAGAACATAGTTAAAAAACCACATAGATAATTCTTTAAAGCTCTGTGTCTGGCAAGACATTTCAGGATTACAAACGTTTATGTAATCTTGACTACTATTTATGGTCAGGGGCAGGGAGACAAGTCTCTGCCCCTGCCTGGGGCTTTGAGGTCTGTGGCAAAAGCTCGTTCATGTGTAAATTGCTTACCTTGTATGAGGCAAAGAGTCAGGCTCAGTAGTATTGGCACTGTGGTTATCTTCATGCTGAAGATGATGTAAACTGGTTACAAGTCTGCTCCATGCATTGCTCACCAGCTTGTGCTGTAGAACTGAACCTGTGGAGATGCAGCTTACTTTATACATACTGGTGATACACACCCACAACAGCCAACATTATAAAACCAGTTGTTCAAGGTCGTGCTAGACTTAATATACCACATCAATTTAGCTCCTGTCCTTTAGGATCCTGTCAAAGGGGAAGATTTGAACAGATAATGTCTGTTTCCCTCCTCAAAGGGCAACAGATGGAGTCTGAGGACCTTAGTCGAAGTTTAATATTCCATAGTCTTATTTAAGAACTGAATTCTTCAGCCGCACAGACATGTTACCTCGTAGACAAACATATTTATAACTGGGCTCCTTTCATAAGTGGGAAAGAAGGGGAAAGGAAGACAGATTGACTGTCCTACCAGTCAAGTAAATGTTTAAAGATTTCACTGTCTGGAAAAAGCTGCTTTATAGTAAGAGAAATGAGGATTCTTGGTGCTTCCATCTACAGATGTTCTAAGTGTCTCAATTCAGTGTCACAGGCTCATATAAAAGTTAGAGTCGAATGATCTTAATTAACCTTGCAAAATTCCAGCAGTGACTACATGGAGAAACAGAAACTCAGAGGAGCAATGATTTTCCCAAGGATACATGGTGTGGATGGAAGAGGCAGAGGTGGCACTTGAAAGAAGACCACTGGTACCCTGGCCTGGTGCCTTGGTTAGTTGGAGCATCGTTGCATACACCAAACGGTTGCAAGTTCGATTCCTGGTCAGGGCACAAACTTAGGTTGCTGGTTCAATCTCAGGTCAGGGAGCATAGGGGAGGCAACTGATCTCTCTCTCTCTCTCTCCCTCTCTCCCTTCCTCTTTCTAAAATTAATAAAAAACATATCCTCGCATGAGGATTTAAAAAAAAGAGAGAAGACCACAAATTTAACATTTTCTCATCTCCATACACTGCTTCACCATTACAGATTAGTAAAGGCAGAATTATGGTGAAATCAAAGCTGGCACATAACTACTTCTTAAAATCCTCAATCTGAAGAATATTTTATATTCTAAAGCTTTATCTTAGAGTCCAACCACACATCATACATAATAAAGACCTCAGGTATAACTTTCCACACAGCCCATTGCTCCCCACATTTCAAAGATCTGATTCCAGCATTCCACAGGGTCTCCACACCCATCCAAGGTAAGTTTTAAACTTTATGGAATCAGAACCCTTTTAAAGATGGTTCCAGAAAAGCTAATCTAAAGCTAGCCGACTTTGGGGTCAGCTCAATATTCTGAATAATATCAAAGCCAAAGTATTTCTTTTTTTCTTTTTTTCATGAGATAATTTATTGCCTATAAAAATATAATCATTAGTTGAAAGGTCAGCACTGTTAACTTTGTTTCTTTGCAATGGTTTAGTAAAATTAGTGACTTGGAACGCAAGTTCAAATTGCATAACTGTTTCGGGATAGGAAATTCATGTTCATCGTAGCTTAACACAGCGATTTTCAACCATCGTGCCACCAAGAATTTTTAAAACATTCACTACCTGACTGTTCAGTCAGGCTCATTGACCTCTTTTCTCTTAGATCGTAGCCATCTGGTGTGAATGAATAAAAAGTATACCTATTTTCTTCTGTCAGATCCACAACATATGTATTTTCTGGTGTGCTGTAGAATTTTAATAATTAGTTTATGTGCATCATGAGATGAAAAAGGTTGGAAATGGCTCACTTAACAGGAAGCAAATGGGACAGGAAGTCAGGAAATCTGTTTCTATTCCTGTCTTCGCAACAACACCGTCATGGAAATGAACCTGACTTTGCTGTATGAGAGATCTGGGTCCAAATCTTGACTCAACAATTATCAGCTATGTTGCCTTGGGCAAGTCATTTAGTTTTTCTCTGCCTGTTTCCAAATGTGTAAAATAGGGAAAAAGATTACTTTGTACAACTGCTGTAAGAGTTAGAGGTAATTCATGTGTGTGTTTGTGTGTGTATGTGTGTTAAAATGCTTAGAACAAGTATATATGATAAGTTTTACAGTTAAAGATAGCTGGTCTTGCACTTTTATGTCATTATAATGATATGGTTGTTCTAGGTAATTTCTGAGATTCCCAGTAAAGTCAGTATCTCTTGAACAAGGACCTCAACAACAGATTACGTTTACTCATCATAGAATAACATCCCAACACTTTCTTAAGTGAAATGAAAAAGTCAAGACATAAGTTATCTTCTTCATTTTGTTAATGTTCTAAACCACAATATCTAAGACAAATCAAAGCATTAGCCATTTAAAATCTGCTAAATTAATTGCTAGATTTCAAGAATCATTGATTCCCATTGCCATGTATAAAATGCTCTTGTAAATATTGACACACTAACAGTAATTTTTTACCTTTCATCTGCTCTGGCTGACTGTATGTAATGTGTCCCAACCACATGCTCTTATTATTGGTGGTAAGAAAGTTTAATGCCTTACAATAGAATTGGTGACTGTATGACATGCTCTGATGAACTCACATGGACAATATTCCCAGGAGTGGAAGTGGTACTAGGGTGGAACAAAAGAACCAAAATATGATTGCATCTCGAAAGCATCTCTGCTATGAGGAAAGGCTGAAGGAGTTGGTTTCCTTCTTACTGGGAAAGAGTTTCTCGCTGACACCCAGAACCTTCTGAAATGATGAATAAGAGGCTTGGAACTGATAACCCCTTCCAAGAGAAGGTAGCCAAGAGAAGATTCAGTGAGTACTCCTAGTATTGGAAGCACATGTCACTGGCTCAGGGTATCAGAGCATTTTCTCCATTTCATTTCAGGAATGTTGTAAATCCAGATGTGACTCATCGCATATTCTGTTAATGACTCCTTATTTTGGAAAACCACTAAATTTCAATTCACATGAGTGTGAGTGAGGCTGGGGGGTTTGGGTTATCAGGATACTTTTATATTAGGTTATTATCAGAGTACCTTTCTTCAATTCTAAATTCCGTATTTTCTTTTCAGTTCTTTCAATTATTCATCAGACATGTAAAACTCTCTTTCTTCTCATTTAAATAGAACTAAGTTATTAAAAGTATACACTTTACAATTTAACACATGTATCAAGGGGCCTAGAATCTGCATTTACATCAGTGATATTGATATAGAAGAAGGGGATGAGAAAAGTATGAAATAAATAAGATTTTGTAGACCCGTAAACTTACTGAAGACAAAGATTATTTCCAAAAACTCAAAGTTATCAGATCTTTGTTCAAATCTTCCCTTTCCCTAGGCAGAGATAGCCTTGCTGATGACAATACTTTAATAAATAAGTACAGTACCTTCCCATAAAATCACCTTCCACATCTTTCCAAACAATCTGCTATGCATTAGTTTTCTAGATTTGGTTATACAAGGTAGCTAAGTAGGGATTATTACCCTTCCCTTACCTGCCCCACATGGTACCATTAACGAACCATGGGAACTAGATTGGATGGCAACCCCAGTTCTGCCACTTTTTCACCTTTCTGGCATTTCAAAGAGGTTCCTGACATTATAGAGCTTGAAACTATGTACAGCGTTCTCTTGCTGATATAATTCTTTCCGAAAACCGTCTGCTCCCACATACTCACATACACACACATTCATACAAACACACACACACACACACACACACTCTCATAATGACTTGGTGGGTGGGGAAAGTATGTTGTGACCGTGGCTGAAAAGTGTGTGTCCCAACAAATACTTCTTTTATATTTTCTTAATTTTTAATTTTCTTTCCTGTAAGTCTGATATTTTTTTCCTATTAATTTAACATATCTCTACTGTGTTCTTCTTTTATGAAAGACACTAACTGAAAACCAGCCTTTACGCACTACCTTGAAATGTGCCATTAACAGGTAACTATACTCCCTCTGAGAATTCCTTTCTGTTTGTCAAGAAAGGCTAAGATACTATAAAGATAAGCATCTCATTTTATCGAAGAACAGGATGAGATGGGTACTGTTTGATCACTGAGTATATAGACCCTGCTATTTATAGCTTTAATTATTGCTTTTATTAGATTAGGATTAAGAGAACACAAACGTTTCAATGTTTAATTTTTTGCTCTATTAAGTTTTACATATTGGATTATATTTGGTTCTTAAATATAATATCCAGCTTCTGCCTACAATTCATGCTACTTGAACCCGTTCCATGGTCCCACACTGTCCATCACCTGAAAATTTGGCACATTATAAAGTTTCCTAGGATTAATCTTGGCTATAGAAAACAGAGTTTTGTGGAGCTATGGTCTTTTTTTTTTTAAATCACACTAAATTAATTCTTATGTAGTATACTGAATTTTGGCAAAAGAGTACTGTATATTTTAGATGTAAAATATTTATGTGTGCCTATACAATAAGCAAGATCACAATTGTTAGATCCATAAGCAAAATTAGGGAAAAGTGATTTATATATTTTTATTAAATTATTTAAATAGAAATATGAAATTTGCTAGCATGTATGGTGCACTTACTAACTGACAGGTACAACAATAAACCTAACAGTATCATTCTATACTTTTTTATAAATAAAGAAATGGAAGGTGGGACTTTCCCCAGGTTATACAGCCTGTAAGCAGTGATCTATGCAAATGAGAACAGTCCATGCAAGTAAAGGATATCCAACTCCAGAGCCCAAGTTCTTACTTACCACGCACTGTAGTGACCACAGTACCTACACCTGTACTACCCTATCTCAGACACTCACTGTGGGGACTGAACTGTGTCCCTTAAAATTTATACTTGAAGCCTTAACCCCCAGTACTTCCGAATGTGACTATACTTGGAGATAGGGCCTTTAAAACAGTGATTGGATTAAAGTGAGGCATTAGAGTGGGCCCTAACAGGTGTCTTTATAAGAGGAGGAAGTTTGGACACACAGAGATGCCAGGAATGCTGTGCACAGTGACCTGCACGAGGCCACATGGTCAAGCTGAAACATGGTCTGAAGACATTTTTATTAAATCAAGTAACAAGTTAAATAGCACTAATCATTGTGTTATACCACAATC